GGAGTGATTTGACTTAGGCACGAAGGTAGTGTTACACAGGGTGTGGTGGGGAGTGTGTTTTCCAGTTTATGGCCCTAATCTAACTACCTGTCTTATCCCATATTATAACTATATTTTTATTTTTATTTCTTTTTTTTTTTGTAGTACTTTTTTTTTTTTTTGACAGGCAGAGTGGACAGTGAGAGAGAGAGAGAGAGACAGAGAGAAGAGAAAGGTCTTCCTTTTTGGTTGGTTCACCCCCCAGTGGCCGCTGCGGCTGGCGTGCTGTGGCCGGCACACCGTGCTGATCCAAAGCCAGGAGCCAGGTGCTTCTCCTGGTCTCCCATGTGGGTGCAGGGCCCAAGGACCTGGGCCATCCTCCACTGCACTCCCAGGCCACAGCAGAGGGCTGGACTGAAAGAGGAGCAACCGGGACAGAATCCCGCGCCCTGACCGGGACTAGAACCCAGGGTGCCGGCGCTGCAGGTGGAGGGTAGCTAGTGAGCCACAGCGCCGGCCTATTTTTATTTCAAATGCTTTATAGAAACAGGCCTTCAGAAACTGCAGTGATAAAGAAAATGTGGTATATATACACTATGGAATACTACACAGCCATAAAATTGAAATCCTGTCTTTTGTAACAAAATGGATGCAACTGGAAAGCATTATACTTAGTGAAATAAGCCAGTACCCAAAAGATAGATACCATATGTTTTCTCCATATTCATTTACGTTTGTTCAGTAATATTAAATGTGTTCTTACTGTACAACCAGCAGTTCATGACCTAGGTATTCTACTTATGATCTAATATTCTTAGGAAAGCAGTAGAGGATGACCCAAGTCATTGGGCCCCTGCACCCACATGGGAGACCTAGAAGAAGCTCCCAGCTCCTGGCTTCAGCTTGGCCCAGCCCTAGCCATTGTGGCCATTTGGTGAGTGAGCCAGTGGATGGAAGATCTCTTTATCTCTCTGTCTCTCTTTCTGTGGCTCTGCCTTTCAAATAAAAGTAAGTATTTTTTTTTAAAAAGTTAAAAAATGACATACAGGTTTTTTTTTACAAAGAAAGTGATGAAAAATTATGAAAAATGGTCATTTTCATTAGTTATTAGGAAACTATAAATAAGTACCATTTTATTACCTCACACATATTGGATAGTGTTAGGAAACTGGCGCAGTTGTAGCCAGGTGGCCGCATGGCCCAGCTACCTGAGCCAGGCTCCACCCCCATCCTAATGGGATTCGCTGCTCCTGCTTCCCTGCCCGCCCTCAGGCAAGTTTTAAAAGGGCCTGTTCCTGCACACATGTTCTCTTGGCTCTGCTCTCCTGCACTCCTGGCTCTTCTCTCCTGCGCTCTCCTCTCTCTGGCTCATCTCTCTACTCTATCTTCTCTCCTCTGTCTCTCTCTTATACTCTCTTTCTCTCTTTTTCCTTTGCTGCCCCTTCACTCCGGTCTGTAGGGTGTTCCCCAGTAAACCCTTTCCCTTACTCAGGTGTTGGTGTGTTTTTGCGACGGCTGACATTAATATATAACAGATAGATATACATTTTTTAATCAGAAATGACAATTACTGACAAAGGTATGAAAAACAGTGGGAATTGCCAGTAGGGTTCCTTCTGTGGAAATAGTTTTGCTGTTCCTCCAATGTAAAAAATAGAAATTATCATGTGTCCCAGAAGCTCCACTTCTATCAATAGAAAAATTGGAAACAGCTATCTAAAGAGATCCATGTGCAAGTGTATTTTTAAGCAGCAATATTCCCCATAGGTAAGTGATGAAAGGATCCAGATGTTCAGCAATCATTTCATGGGTAAATGAACAACATACTAATCAGTGCTGCAACATAGGTGAACTTTACAACAATATACTCAATGGCACATTAGCAGGAAGGTAGGTGTGAAGTAGCAAAGCGACACATTGGTGTTACAGGGATGCCAATGTTACAAGCAACAGGTTAACCCACTGCACTACAGCACTGGTCTTGCATCAGTGTGCCCATTCTTTGTGACTTAAAAGCCTGACGGTTGCAGATTTGCATGATGTCTAATTCAAAATTATATTAGCACATAACTTATCTAATAATGTAACATTTATATCAACTATTATTTTAAATTTGACATTTGGAGTTTGCAACACAGAATGCATGTGCTTTTTATTTTCTTATTTCCATAAATGACATTCAACATTAAATCTCAAACTCCATAATTCATCCTGTTATCAGCTTTACAGAAGAGGAAATGAGGCATTGGTTTCTCCTCAGTATAATTTTAGGAGTCTGAAAGAAATCGTGAATCCCTGGCCAGAGATTATTAATTAAAATTTAGAAATAACTGCTTTTCAGTTCTGGAAAATGTCGATCTCTTCCGCTTTAACTTGCCATTTGCCTTTGTTGTCTTTTTTTAAAAATTGAATTTCTGAGTTCCCTACTACCCACTGTGATGTACGATTTGTGACCAAAAACCTATTTATGTCTTACCATCTTATCGTTAGTCACTGAACATACATTTATATCTAAGTCTTAACAATTTTAGTAACTCCAGCCATGAGGCAGAACCGCTATCCTCGTTCTCACTTTTATGTTAGTTAGGCGTTGATGACGTCAGCATAATTCATAAGGAGGCGTGGTCCTCCTACATCCTGGTCACCGAATCCAACAAACATATTGCTCAGCTTCCGGTTTGGCGGTCGCCATCTTTCTTCAGCGCCTAGTGAAGGAGGACAACAATTTCAACGGCTTTGGGAGTGGAAGGCGGACAGCCCCAAGTCTAGCTGGTCAAGCCAGCAGGGAGCAGTAGGAGACGGCGGCAGCGTGTGACTGACTTGGCTCGTTGAGGTGTCCACCACAGCGGAAGAATCAGAAAACGGCATCTGGTAACTTACAGCCTTTTCTTGCTTTATCACTGCTAGTAGATGTGTTGGGGCATTGAAAGGGCCTGCGTAGTCGCTGAGCCGGGCTGTTGTGGCGCAAACGCTTTTTTTGAGGGCAGGTTGGAAAGCGAGAATCGGGAGGAGTGGAGGACAGCGTGGAGGAGGGGGGCTTACAAGCAGAAACAGTGGGAGTAGAGGAATTAGAAGATGCAGAGGGAAGCGAGGAGGGAAATGACGAGTAGAACAGGCGGCAGGGAATGGGGGAGGAGAGGCAGGGAGGCGTGCCCACAGAGGTGGGGGAGAGGAAGTTCAGTTTGGAAAGGAGGAACAGAGCCTGGAAATGCAGACTGGGGGAGGGGAAAAGGAAAGCAGGTTTGGAGAGGGGGCGCCCAAACACAACCTGATTCTGGGATTTAGCTGACACGCATTTAATCAACCCACATACCAGGGCTCCATGTTTTAGTGTATCAGGCTTTACTGCTCTGAGCCTGGAACCATATTCTGCCGGTCCTAGCGTCTGATATCTGAATGTTCCTGTAGCGTTTCACTTTTGAATCTTCGTGGTCTTTACTTCCTCTGTAGGGTCTTTAAAATCCTTAGGCGCCCTGAACCTCCCGTATTTGTCCCACAGCTTCTAACAGAGACCAAATTCTAAGGAAGATTAGTTTGCTTTTTAGCTTCCCCCCAATGTAGAACTTTATATGACATTTTCCTTCAGATATATCTCTTCCCTTGCTGTTTGACCCCCAGATTAACTTAGGAGCTAAAGCAGGACCAGGCTCTGTGGCAGACCGTATTTACTTGCCTCTGAGATCTCATTTTTGGTTGTACTTTCTGTGTAGCCCAGAAATTCTATTTGGATCGTTTAAATTAGTTTTTAGAAAGTTGTCAAATCCAAAATCTGCCTTTGGAGACTTCCATGAACTGACCGTTAGGAAGACCCCTACACCCAATATTGGCCCCACCTCCACAATGCAAATTACATCACCTTCCAATGGAAACTCTTCTTCACTAGCCATTTAGAGGCACACTTCCAGGATATACTTTTATGGAATACTATTCTCCGCAGGGTGTCAGAATTCTTTCAGAAAACTCTCAGTGTCTCCCCTAAGATGTACCCCAAAGACCGTACATCAAAGAAATACATGTTGGACTCATAGTTATCAGAAGTCTATACCATTCCCACTAGTATTTTTCCCTCACAGATCCTATCAAATTTGTTATTAATTGTGAGACCCCCCCCCCCCCTTCAGCTCCCCTGCTGGATGTCCACCTGTGTTCTCTTTTTTTTTTTTTTTTTTAATTTTTTTGACAGGCAGAGTGGACAGTGAGAAAGAGAGACAGAGAGAAAGGTCTTCCTTTGCCGTTGGTTCACCCTCCAAGGGCCGCCGCGGCCGCTGCGCTGCAACCGGCGCACCGCGCTGATCCGATGGCAGGAGCCAGGAGCCAGGTGCTTTTCCTGGTCTCCCATGGGGTGCAGGGCCCAAGCACCTGGGCCATCCTCCACTGCACTCCCTGGCCACACGCAGAGAGCTGGCCTGGAAGAGGGGCAACCGGGACAGAATCCGGCACCCCGACCGGGACTAGAACCCGGTGTGCCGGCGCCGCTAGGCGGAGGATTAGCCTAGTGAGCCGCGGCGCCGGCCTCACCTGTGTTCTCTTAAAAGGGTGTAGAAGCTGGTACCTGCAAAGCTGGCATCCCCTGTGCATGCTTGTCCATGTGCAGGTTGCTGCACTTCAAATCCAGCTCCCTGTTAATGGCCTTGGAGAAGCAGGAGATGGTAGCGCAAGTGTTTGGGCCCCAGCTACAATATGGGAGAAATGGATAAAGCTCCTGGCTTTGTGCTAGCCCCGTTCCCATTGGGGCATGAGGGGAGTGAGCCAGCAGATGGAGAATGTGTCTGTCTCTCTCCCTGTCTCCCCTGCTTATAAGTATGATTTTCAAGTGAATAATAAAATAAATAAATAAATCGCTTTAAAAATCAGAGTTTAAAATTATGTTTCTGGGGCCGGTGCCGCAGCTCACTAGGCTAACCAACGGCAAAGGAAGACCTTTCTCTCTGTCTCTCTCTCTCACTGTCCACTCTGCCTGTCAAAAAATAAAAAAAAAATTAAAAAAAATTATGTTTCTGGTCAACATGTGAGAACAATTATTAGTTGCTACTTGGGATACCCAAATTCCTTAGTAGAGTGCCTGTTTGAAATCCTGGTCATTGTGATTGCAATTCAGCCTCCTGGCTTTGGCATGGCACATCTCTGGCTGTTTTGGGGATTTGGGAAGGGAACCACTGGAAGGGAGATATCTCACATTCATGAGACTCATTTTCTATGTTTCTCTTTCACTGACATTCAAATAAAATTTGTAAAAACAATTTAAAAAAGTCAAAATGGGGTTCAGTATTACTGAGTGGTGAAACTGAGCCTCACTTTTTTTTTTTAAGATTTTTATTTATTTATTTGGCAGGTAGAGTTACTAAAGACAGTGAGAGAGAGAGAGAGAGAGAGACAGAGAGAAAGGTCTTCCTTCCGTTGGTTCACTCCCCAAACGGCCGCAACAGCCGACGCTGCGCAGATCCGAAGCCAGGAGCCAGGTGCTTCTCCTGGTCTCCCATGTGGGCGCAGGGGCCCAAGCACTTGGGCCATCCTCCACTGGCCTCCGGGGCCACAGCAGAGAGCTGAACTGGAGGAAGAGCAAGTGGGACCAGAACCTGGCGCCCGCATGAGATGCTGGTGCTGCAGGTGGAGGATTAACCTAGTGCGCCACCATGCAGGCCCCTGAGCCTCACTTTCCATCTAGCAAGTTTGAATCTAATAATTTGGGCCCTACACTGTTTAAACTCAGCCTCAGTTTTCCTTCAGGATAACCTCAGTAGCGTGTCCTGTGTTTCTTTAAAGATGGTATATTAATACTAAAGCTCTGTTCTTTCCCAGAATTGCTTCTGACAAAAAATCCCATCCTTAAGTACCTTATGTTTTATGCTGGCTTTCTGGTAGATGTCTAGCTCACTCTCATCTAAGAAACGCCGTGTTTCTGGGCCTGATTCAACACTAGAGTCTCACTGTTTCCCTACCTACCCTGTGACGTTGGAAGTGCCCTCAGAACCAACCAACGTAAGTGTTTTCTCCATGGAAATCTGAGAAGTGGGTATGTAGCATGATCTGAAGAAAGTGCCTTTATCCATCTCTCCATGTTCCATTAATGCCTGTTTTCCCAACTCTGTTTTTCTCTCCTCCATCCATAGGGAATGCAGAAAAGTATTGAAACAGACATAGATGAAGGTCTTTACTCCCGCCAGCTGTAAGTGGGTCCAGAGCTAATGATGAGTGTTGAAAATAGGTGCAGCAAGATTATGGTTTGACCCAGAGGCCTCTCTGAATCTGGCAGGTATGTGCTGGGTCATGAAGCAATGAAGCGTCTTCAGACATCCAGTGTGCTAGTGTCAGGCCTGCAGGGCCTGGGTGTTGAGATCGCCAAGAACATCATCCTTGGTGGGGTGAAAGCTGTTACCCTGCATGACCAGGGCACTGCCCAGTGGGCTGATCTCTCTTCTCAGGTACCTCATTTCTGCTTTCTTAACCATTGGAAAGACAAACTCCTTAGACTCCTCATGTAGTTCAGTTCTCTTTTTTAATACTGTAGTACTACCTACGGGAAGAAGATATTGGTAAAAACCGAGCTGAAGTATCCCAACCCCGCCTTGCTGAACTCAACAGCTACGTGCCTGTCAGCACCTATACAGGACCGCTGTTTGTTGAGGACTTCCTTAGAGATTTCCAGGTAATATGCAGGCCTTTATCTTTTTTCCAGATGTTAGTTCTGATTCCTTTAGTAAATATTTACCTAGCAGGGTGACCTGGTATCTTAGGTTTATTGCTTAGGTTTATTGCAAAGAGAAGCCGAGCTGTCCTTTTTCATCTATTTAAAGGAAGATATGGCCATACATTGTGGTACGTGGATTATTGTAGTAGAACTTTGTAGTTCAACTGCTACTGTTTAAGTCTTGAACTCTTCTAGTGTATGGTCTATTTTTTTTTATTTTTATTTATTTATTTATTTATTTTGACAGGCAGAGTGGACAGTGAGAGAGAGAGACAAAGACAAAAGTCTTCCTTTTGCAGTTGGTTCACCCTCCAATGGCCGCCGCGGCTGGTGCTCTGTGGCCGGCACACCGTGCTGATCCGATGGCAGGAGCCAGGTACTTCTCCTGGTCTCCCATGGGGTGCAGGGCCCAAGCACTTGGGCCATCCTCCACTGCACTCCCAGGCCATAGCAGAGAGCTGGCCTGGAAGAGGGGCAACCGGGACAGAATCCGGTGCCCCGACCGGAACTAGAACCCGGTGTGCCGGCGCTGCAAGGCAGAGGATTAGCCTAGTGAGCCGCAGCGCCAGCCTAGAGTATGGTCTAGAGAAAGTCATTTGACTTCTTCTGCCTTATTATTTCCTGTGAATACACAGAAATGTGGGCCTTACAGAGTATTTATGAGACTTAGGCTTAATAGTGCGCCTAATTTTTAGTAAAATTAAATAGCTGATTTTCTATACTAGAGGACTAGGGCACAAGGATCCCTGATGTAGGAGTTGGAATTTATCCTGGTGAATAAATGATGGCAATAAAAAACAAATCCTATAGATTGTGGCTGAATAAGTATTTTAAGAATTCATTTATTTGTTTGAAAGGCAGAGTTACAGAGAGAGAGGGACACACAGAGAGGTTATCCATCCACTAATTCACTCCCCCGATGGCTTAAGCTGCCAAAGCTGGGCTGATCCAAAACCAGAAGCCAGGAGTTTCATCCAGGTCTCCCGTGTGGGTATGGGGCCCATGCACTCGAGCTATATTCCACCTCTTTTCCAGGCCGTAGCCTGGGAGCTGGATTAGAAGTGTAGCAGCTAGGATTCGTACTGTGCCCATATGGGATTCCAGCACCACAGGCATAGGCTTAACCTACAACACCACAGGCAGTGGCCCCTACAACTATTTTCTTAAGTATTGGAGCAATAGGGTTTGGTGGAGATAAACGCAAGATGTTTTCACTGGAATAGTGTTGTTGCTTTTTTTTTTTTTTTTTTTTGACCCCTCAAGCACAAAAAATACAGGCAGTAGTGAGTATTAGTTAAAGAAATGAAATAGTTGTTCATCAGATTCTTTACAGGTCATCTTTGATTTTTTGTCATAGTCTCTGAGAGTTCATATTGTTTCACCAGTTCTTACCCTCCCGAATCTGACACACACAGGAAGTATACAACAGTTTGAGGAAGAGAGTTTAACCAGAGGAAAACTTAGTGCTTATTCTCTCTGTTACTTACAGTGTCAGGTTTTTAGCCCAGTCCTATGATTTTTTACAGGTAGTGGTCCTTACTAACACTCCCTTGGAGGATCAGCTGCAGGTGGGTGAGTTCTGCCACAACCATGGCATCAAGCTTGTGGTAGCAGACACACGTGGCCTGTTTGGGTGAGTTTTTATCTTTCCTTCCTTCCTCCAACACTTGCCAGACTCACACTGGGAGGCGTGTATTGCCTTCAGATTCCATTTAGACATCTGAATTTTCAGTTTCACATATTCATTCTCCCAGTATGGCATGATTCGGTGCCACCTAATTGTCACCAGTGTACCGAGTTTGCTTGGCCAGTACTTACTGTATATTGAAGAACCTGCAGTGTCTGTTTTCGTGGGTGTCATGCACCAGTCCTTTTGGTTCCCTCTACAGGCAGCTGTTCTGTGACTTTGGAAAGGAAATGATTGTTAGGGATTCTAATGGGGAGCAGCCACTCAGTGCTATGGTTTCTATGGTCACGAAGGTAAGGAGACCAATCCTAGGGGTTCCAGAATAAGCAGGACGGTACCAAATCATTCTTTGTGCTGGCAGTTGAGCCTGCTTCTGAAGTTTAACTCTTTCTCCATATAGGACAACCCTGGGATTGTTACATGCCTGGATGAGACCCGACATGGATTTGAGAGTGGAGACTTTGTCTCCTTCACGGAAGTTCAGGGCATGAGTGAACTGAATGGCATTCATCCTGTTGAGATCAAAGTTCTGGGTATGTCATAGCCATCACAGGGGTGGGCCACAAGTGAGAAGTGGTTGCTTGGAACAAAGGGAAAGTAGGTGAGCCAATGCAAAAGCTATGTAGTAACATGTCTGCACTTCAAACTAAAATAAAAGCCAAGAATGAGTCTGGAATCTTAGCTGGGACTTAGAGAGGTGTCTGTGAGATCATAGAAAAAGGAAGTTATAAAGTTACCGAGAGACTTTGGAGTGCATGCCACTAGTGTTTGATTCCATTTGCTTTTAAATTGTTGACTTTAAATTTGTAGTATATCCTTAATATGTGCTTAGTGTAGCTTACGATATTTTGTTGATTCACAGAACCTTAAAATACTTTCATTTTTATCATCTTTGTATCAAATATTTTTGTTTATATGTACCATAAACTTTGCAATAAATTATTTACAAAGAAATATAATGAATAAAATCACCCAAATTCTCAGAATTTTTAGTTTTCATCCTGCCTGTCTTTGGGCCCATATTTTCATCAGGTAATATTTTCTTTATGCCTAAAGAATGCCTTTTAACATTTATGTGTACGTGATCATTATTTTTCGTGTCAGAAATTGCCATTATCTTAGTTATTTTTTAAAGAATTTTCTTATGAGTTTAAAGTGTACGTTGACAGTCGTTTTGCTTCAACCCAGAACAACTGTTCTGGGTTACTTGACTGCATTGTTTTCCTCAGTAATTCTTGTTCATACTTTTCTTCCCTTTGTAGTATGCCTGTATTTTCTACCACTGATTATAAGCATTATGATGGTAATTTACCTTTATGTGTTTCTTCATGAGTCATTTCCCTGGGACTTGCTGAATTGATCTCTGAGTTTTTTGCTGTGTGCCATGTTTGGAAAAATGCTAGCCTTTTCTGTTTTTCAAAATAATGCTTTCTCACTGCCCTTCATCCATCATCCCATTTTAAAAAAATATGTATGAGCCAGCACCACGGCTCAATAGGCTAATCCTCCGCCTTGTGGCACCGGCACACGGGGTTCTAGTCCCGGTCGGGGCACCGGATTCTGTCCCGGTTGCCCCTCTTCCAGGCCAGCTCTCTGCTATGGCCCGGAAGTGCAGTGGAGGATGGCCCAAGTGCTTGGGCCCTGCACCCCATGGGAGAGCAGGATAAGCAGCTGGCTCCTGCCTTCGGATCAGCGCAGTGTGCCGGCCGCAGCAAGCTGGCCACGGCGGCCATTGGAGGGTGAACCAACGGCAAAAGGAAGACTTTTGTCTTTGTCTCTCTCTCTCACTGTCCACTTTGCCTGTAAAAAAAATATATGTATGTACTTATTTGAAAGGAAGAGTTACAGAAGGCCATGGGTGGGTGGGTGGGGGCGTCTTCTGTCTGCTGGTTAATGCCCCATATAGCCACAGTGGCCAGAGCTGAGCTGATCCGAAGCCAGGAGCCAGGAGCTTCTTCCAAGTCTCCCACACAGGTGCCAGGGCTGAAGCACTTGTGCCATCTTCCCCTGCTTTGGTCAGGTCATAGAAGAGAGCTGAGTTTGCCACAACACCAGCTCCCCATCATCCCTTCTTAAAGACTTGGATAAAATGTGTATAAGAGCATGTCAGAATCTCATGGTAATTGAAACTAAAATGTTTTTATCTTCAAAGAGCTCTGTAATGCAGTAGGTAATTCTGGTTTTCCAGAAACTTTTAGAAATGCCTTTTTAAACTATCTCATGCTGCACGGTTCACTTATTCTTGGTTTATTCCTTTTCTTTTATTTTACTGTGTCATTTACCAGTCTGTTAGTGGTCTAAATATGATTAATTTTCTCAATAAATTTACTAAAAAAGATTAATGTTAGTGTTATAAATCCTATATATTCACGAAGCTCTAGAAAACAAATGAATATGTTGAGACTTGGAAGATACCAAAGAGACATAAATTTCATTTCTACATATGAAAAATACTTGTGGCTCAGTACAGTGGAATATGACCAAAAAAAGGTTTCTGAAAGAATTTATGGCCAAAATTTTAAAATTTAATGAATGGTAAGGTCACAGGTCATAAGACTCAGTGAAATTAGGTAACAATGGCATTTGATAAACAGTTGTGAAGATTACATACTTTTGGTAGAATTTTGTATATGTTTATTTCTACAGTAATTTTGTAATTTTTATAGAGATAATCTCATTTCCACTGAATCACCTAAGGTGAGCTTTTACATTTAGTGAAAACTTGATGTGATCCTATCATTGAGAAAGAAAAAAAAAAAGTTATCCTATCATTGAGGGAAAAAAAAAACAATCAGTTTTCCTGACTGCTTTTAATTATTTCATTTTAGTTGAAAGCTAAAGACAGGCAGACAGCAATCTTTTTTAAGGTTTTATTTAAAGAATGAATTTTTTCACAGAACTTCAGGAATATAATGGTTCTTCTCCCCTATACCCCTGCTTCCCACCCCAACTCCCATCCCGCCACCTCTCTGTCTCCCATCTACTTCTTCATCAGCCGCGCTGATCTGAAGCCAGGAGCCAGGTGCTTCTCCTGGTCTCCCATGGGGTGCAGGGCCCAAGCACTTGGGCCATCCTCCACTGCACTCCCTGGCCACAGCAGAGAGCTGGCCTGGAAGAGGGGCAACTGGGACAGAACCGGCGCCCCGACTGGGACTAGAACCCGGTGTGCTGGCGCCGCAAGGCGGAGGACTAGCCTAGTGAGCCGCGGCACCAGCCTTGACCAGGATTTTATTGAGTATTTTTTCTTCTGTATTCATCAGGGAGCTTGGTCTATAGTTTTCTTTCTCTGTTGCATCTTTTCTAGGTTTAGGAATTAAGGTGATATTGGCTTATTGGGTGGATTCCTTCCCCTTAAATTGTTTTGAATAATTTGAGAAGAACTGGGTTTAGTTCTTCTTTAAATTTATGGTAGAATTCAGCAATGAAGCTATCTGGCCCTGGGCTCTTCTTTGTTGGGAGGGCGTTTATTACTGATTCAATTTCTGTCTGGTTATGGGTCTGTTTAGGTTTTATTTATGGTGTGTCTGTTGTTAAATTTCCATTACCATCTCTAATTTTATCGATTTGAGTCTTATCACCTTTTTCAGTTAGTTGGGCCTATGTTGTGTCAATTTTGTTTATTTTTCCAAAAAACCAAATCTTCATTTTGCTTATTTTTTGTTTCAATTTTGTTGATTTCTTCTTTAATTTTATAGTTTCTTTTCACCTACTAGCTTTGCATTTGGTTTGCTGTAGTTTTTCTAGATCCTTGAGGTACTTAGAGAGTTCATTTATTTTGTGACTTTCCAGTTTCTTAAAGTAGACACCTATTGCTATAAACGTTTCTCTTACCGTTTGCTGTATCCCACAAATATAGATAGGTTGTATTGTCTTCTTGCTTCCTGAAATTTTTTGATTTCTCTTTTGATTTCTTCTACGACCCACTGTTTGTTCAGGAGCATCTTGTTCAGTCTCCACGTGTTTGTATATGCTTTAGAGATTCCCAAGTTGTTGATTTCCAGCTTCATTGCATTGTGGTCTGAGAAGATACATGGTGCGATTTAAACTTTTTCGAATTAGCTGAGACTCGCTTTATGACCTAGCATATGGCCAATCCTAGAGAAAGTTGCATGCACAGGGGAGAAATATGTGTACTCTGTAGCTGTGGGGTGGAAGGCTCTGTAAATATCTGCTAGGTCTGTTTGATCTGTAGTATCAAATAGCTCTGTTTGTTGCCCTGTTGATTTCCTTCCCTCCCCTCCCCTCCCCTCCCCTCTCCTTTCCTTTTTTGACAGGCAGAGTTAGACAGTGAGAGAGAGACAGAAAGAAAGGTCTTCCTTCCATTGGTTCACCCCCCAAAATGGCCTCTACGGCCGGCACGCTGCGCCGATCCGAAGCCAGAAGGCAGGTGCTTCCTCCTGGTCCCCCATGCGGGTGCAGGGCCCAAAAACTTGGGACACCTTCTGCTGCCTTCCCAGGCCACAGCAGAGAGCTGGACTGGAAGAGGAGCAGCTGGGACAGAATCCGGTGCCCCAACCGGGACTAGAACCCGGGATGTTGGCGCCTCAGGCATAGGATTAGCCTTAGTGAGCCGCAGCGCCGGCCATCCTGTTGATTTTCTGTCTGTTTGATCTGTCCCTTGCTGAAGGTGGGGTATTGAAGTCCCCTATTTCTATGATATTTGAGTCTGTATCTTCTTTTAGATCCCATAATAATTCTTTCAAATAGCCAGGCGCCCAGTAATTAGATGCATATAGATTTATAATAGTAATGTCTTTGTGTTGGATTGATCCTTTAATCATTATGTAGTGTCATTCTTTGTCTCTTTTTAATAGTTGGTGTGCTAAAGTCTATTTTGTCTGATATTAGGATGGCCACTTTTTTCGTTTCTGTTAGCTTGGAATACCTTTTTTCCCTTTCAGTCTACAAGCATCTTTGCTGGTGAGGTGTGATTGCTGAAGAAAACAGATAGATGGGTTGCCTTTCATTTTCTTTTTATCTTTATTTAGTCAATATAAATTTCCAGAGTACAGCTTATGGATTACAATGGCTTCCCCCGCCCCATAACTTCCCTCCCACTCACAACCCTCCCATCTCCCGCTCCCTCTCCCATTTCGTTCATATCAAGATTCATTTTCAATTCTCTTTATATACAGAAGATTGATTTAGTATATGTTAAGTAAAGAGTTCATCAGTTTGCGCCCACACAGAAACAGAAAGTGTAAAATACTGTTTGAGTACTAGTTATAACATTACTTCACATTGGACACACATTAAGGAAAGAGATCCCACATGAGGAGTAAGTACACAGTGACACCTGTTGTTGACTTAACAATTTGACACTCTTGTTTATGGCGTCAGTAATCACCCTAGGCTCTAGTCATGAGTTGCCAAGGCTATGGAAGCCCTTTGAGTTCGCCGACTTCGATCTTATTCAGATAGGGTCATAGTCAAAGTGGAAGTTTTCTCCTCCCTTCGAGAAAGGTACCTCCTTCTTTGAAGACCTGTTCTTTCCACTGGGATCTCACTCGCAGAGATCTTTCATTTAGGTCTCTCTTTCTTGTTTTTTTTTTTTTTTTTTTTTTTTGCCAGAGTGTTTGGCTTTCCATACCTAAAATATTCTCATGGGCTCTTCAGCAAGATCCGACTACCTTAAGGATTGATTCTGAGGCCAGAGTGCTATTTAGGACATCTGCCATTCTATGAGTCAGCTGGGTATCCCACTTCCCATGTTGGATCGTTCTCTCCCTTTTTTATTCTATCAGTTAGTATTAGCAGACACTAGCCTTGTTTGTGTGATCCCTTTGACTCTTAGACTTATCAGTGTGATCAATTGTGAACTGAAATTGATTACTTGGACTAGTGAGATGGCATTGGTACGTGCAACCTTCATGGGATTGAATTGGAATCCCCTGGCACATTTCTAACTCCACCATTTGGGGCAAGTCAGCTTAAGCATGTCCCGCATTGTACATCTCCTCCCTCTCTTATTCCCACTGTTATATTTAACAGGGATCACTTTTCAGTTAAATTTAAACACCTAAGAATAATTGTGTGTTAATTACAGAGTTCAACCAATAGTACTAGAACAAAAAAAAATACTAAAAGGGATAAAGTATTACATTGTACATCAACAGTCAGGGCAAGGGCTGTTCAAGTCACCGTTTCTCACAGTGTCCATTTCACTTCAGCAGGTTTCCCTTTTGGTGCTCAGTTGTCGCCAATCAGGGAGAACATATGATATTTGTCCCTTTGGGACTGGCTTATTTCACTCAGCATGATGTTTTCCAGATTCCTCCATTTTGTTGCAAATGACTGGGTTTCATTGGTTTTGACTGCTGTATAGTATTCTATAGAGTACATGTCCCATAATTTCTTTATCCAGTCTACTGTTGATGGGCATTTGGGTTGATTCTAGATCTTAGCTGTTGTGAATTGAGCTGCAATAAACATTAAGTTGCAGACAGCTTTTTAGTTTGCCAATTTCATTTCCTTTGGGTAAATTCCAAGGAGTGTGATAGCTGGGTTGTATGGTAGGGTTATATTCAGGTTTCTGAGGAATCTCCAGACTGACTTCCATAGAGGCTTAACCAGTTTGCATTCCCACCAACAGTGGGTAGGTGTCCCTTTTCCCCACATCCTCTCCAGCATCTATTGCTGGTAGATTTCTGAATGTGAGCCATTCTAACCGGGGTGAGGTGAAGCCTCATTGTGGTTCTGATTTGCATTTCCCTGAGTGCTAGTGATCCTGAACATTTCTTCATGTGCCTGTTGGCCACTTGGATTTCCTCTTTTGAAAAATGTGTGTTTAGGTCCTTGGCCCATCTCTTAAGTGGGTTGTTTGTTTTGATGTTGTGGAGTTTCTGGATTTCTTTGTAGATTCTGGTTACTAATCCTTTATCTGTTGCATAGCTTGCAAGTATTTTTTCCCATTCTTTGGTTTTGACTGCACGTGCATCCGGGGTCTTTTCTAAGAAGCCTTTGCCGGTACCTATATCTTGCAGGGTTTCTCCGATGTTCTCTAATAATTTGATGGTGTCGGGTCGTGGATTTAGGTCTTTAATCCATGCTGAGTGGATTTTTCTGTAAGGTGAAAGGTAGGGGTCTTGCTTCATGCTTCTGCACGTGGAAATCCAGTTGTCCCAGCATCATTTATTGAATAGACTGTCCTTACTACAGGGATTGGTTTTAGATCCTTGATCAACTATAAGTTGGCTGTAGTTGTTTGGGTTGATTTCTGGTGTTTCTATTCTGTTCCATTGGTCTACCCATCTGTTTCTGAACCAGTACCATGCTGTTGTAACCAGTACCATGCTGTTTTGATTACAACTGCCCTGTAGTATGTCCTGAAGTCTGGTATTGTGATGCCTCTGGCTTTGTTTTTGTTGTACAAGATTGCTTTAGCTAATCGAGGTCTCCACTGTCTCCATATGAATTTCAGCTTCATTTTTTCCAGATCCGAGAAGAAGGTCTTTGGTATCTTGATTGGTACTGCATTGAATCTATAAATTGCTTTTGGGAGAAGGGACATTTTGATGATGTTGACTCTTCCAATCCATGAGCATGGAAGATTTTTCCATTTCTTGGTATCCTCTTCTATTTCTTTCTTTAAGGTTTTGTAATTCTCATCGTAGAGATCTTTAACGTCCTTGGTTAAGCTTATTCCAAGGTATTTGATTGTTTTTGTGGCTATTGTGAATGGGATTGATCTTAGCAGTTCTTTCTCAGCCGTGGCATTGCCTGTGTATACAAAGGCTGTTGATTTTTGTGCATTGACTTTATATCCTGCTATTCTGCCAAACTCTTCTATGAGTTCCAATAGTCTCTTAGTAGAGATCCCCTAAATAAAGAATCATATCATCTGCAAAGAGGGATAGTTTGACTTCTTCCTTCCCGATTTGTATCCCTTTAATTTCTTTTTCTTACCTAATGGCTCTGGCTAAAACTTTCAGAACTATATTGAATAGCAGTGGTGAGAGTGGGCATCGCTGTGTGGTACCAGATCTCAGTGGAAATGCTTCCAACTTTTCCCCATTCAATAGGATGCTGGCCGTGGGTTTTTCATAAATTGCTATGATTGTATTGATGTATGTTCCTTTTATTCCCAATTTGCTTAGAGTTTTCATCATGAATGGACGTTGTATTTTATCAGATGCTTTCTCTGCGTCATTAGAGATAATCATATGGTTTTTCTTCTGCAGTCTGTTAATGTGGTATATCGCATTGATTGTTTTTGCGAACATTGAACCATCCCTGCATACCAGGGATAAATCCCACTTGGTCTGGGTGGATGATCTATCTGATGTGTTGTTGCATTCTATTGGCCAGAATTTTATTGAGGATTTTTGCGTCTATGTTCATCAGGGATATTGGTCTGTAATTCTCTTTCAATGCTGCATCTTTGTCCGGCTTACGGATTAAGGTGTTGCTGGCTTCATAGAAAGAATTTGGGAGGATTCCCTCTTTTTCGAGTGTTCTGAATAGTTCGAGAAGAATTGGAGTTAGTTCTTCTTTAAATGTCTGGTAGAATTCAGCAGTGAATCCATCTGGTCCTGGGCTTTGCTTTGTTGGGAGGGCCTTTATTACTGTTTCAATTTCTTTCTCTGTTACAGGTCTGTTTAGGTTTTCGATGTCCTCATGGTTCAATGTAGGTAGGTTGCATGTGTCCAGGAATCTATCTATTTCTGATAGGTTTCCGTGTTTGCTGGCATACAAGTCCTTGTAGTAATTTCTGATGATTCTTTTTTTTCTCTCTTGCACATTTTAGAATATTTCTTTATGTTTCACTGTGGTGAGTTTAATTACAATGTGTCATGGTGAGGATCTCTTTTTGGTCATGTTTATTGGGGGTTCTGTGAGCTTCCTGTACTCAGATGTCTCTGACCTTCTCCAAACCTGGGAAGTTCTCTGCAAGTATCTCACTAAAAAGGCCTTCTAATCCTTTCTCTCTCTCCATGCCTTCAGGAACTCCTAGAACCCAAATGTTGGTTTTTTTAATAGTATCCTGTAGATTCCCAACAATATTTTTTCTTTTCTTTGGTTTGACTGTATGCTTTCCTGTGCTCTGTCTTCTAAATCCGATATTCTCTCTTCTGTTTCACTGACTCTGTTTTTAAGGCTCTCTAATGTGTTTGTCGTTTGATCTATTGAGTTCTTCATTTCATTATGATTTCTCTTCACTATCAGCATTTCATGTTCTACTAGTTGCTTCGTTTCATTTTGATTCCTCCTTAAGATTTCATTTTCTCGAAGGAGATTTTCTATCCTGTCCAGTAAGGATTTCTGTAGGTCGAGAAGTTGTTTTTGAAAACTTCTTATTGTTCTTATCATAAATGTTTTGAAATCCGTATCTTGCATTTCTTCTATCTCATCATCTTCATAATCTTGAATTGGGGTGTCTTGTTCATTTTGGGGGTGCCATAATGTCTTCCTTGTTCTTGTTTCCTCAGTTTCTGCATTTGTTGCTTGGCATTGTGGATGCTCTTTGGATTCTTCTTCCCTTGCTGTGGTGTTTTTTTCTTGTTATACTATGACTGTATTAAGTGGACTGTCTGCTTTTGATGGAGCCTTAGAGGCTTGAGCTGGGTGTGGCCTGAGAGCTCTGTTTGTTCCTCAGGGTTAAGGGTGTGCCAAAGGTGACACTCCCAGGTTAGGCATGGTAAATCTCTCTTTCTTTTCTTTCTTTTTTTTTTTTTTTTTGGATTCAGAAGGGAAGTAATTCTGCACAGCTGAGTGGAATTGAAGGTAGTTAGCAGGCGAATGATGTACCCACAGGAGCCATAGATCGGAAGCTGTTTCCAAGGACCACACAGGGAATCTGTTCTGCACTCAGTGTGGGCTCAAATTCTCTTGCAGTCTCCCACTGGGTTGCCAAGGTTACCAAATTGTTGTGTCTCTGGAGAGTACTCACGTGAATTCCATGAGTTCTCTCACCCACCATCTCTTGTTTCACAGTCTCAGTTCATCAGCACCACACATTCACTAGGTCCCAATTTCCTGTTATTTCACCCCCCCACCCCACTCCCAGAGTTAGGTTTTTCTGCTTAGTTTAGTTTGCCTAGTGAACTTTCTCCCACGGGGTTTCAAGCCTCGTTCCCTCTAGTCTCCTCCTTCTGCTCTCCCACAGGTGTCTCGGGCTATTGAGATTCAGCTCACCTCGTGTTCCAGCGCTGGTGTGTTGATTCTGCCGCTGGTGTCCCGAGCCGTGGGCTCCCACACCCTCCACGCAGGTCCACGTGAATCACTAGTTCCGGAAGAGTTTCCTCTGCTGTTTCTTCCCCTACTCTTCCTTGAACCTGCAGTATCTCCACTTTTATTAAACTGTCTCTTCCCAGACTGTCAGTGTGCTCCCTTCCTATTCCGCCATCTTGCCGCTCTCTGTAGATGGGTTTTCTTTTTAATCCATTCAGCTAGTCTGTGTCTTTTGACTGTAGAGTTGATACCATTTACATTCAGTGTGACTATTGTTAAATACTGTCTTTTTTCCTGTCACCTTTCCTTAAGTAGAGCTGTTTATGTATTTTGGTTTTTCTTTGTATTCTAGCTAGGTCGTTTTCCACATTCATCTTCTTTGTAGTGAAGTTCCTTTTTTGTGTTTCTGTGCAGCACATACTTGAGCCAGTGTTGTAAGGGCTGCACATGAACATAAAAATTCTTTCAGTTTCTGTTTGTTGTGAAAATCTTTACTTCCCCTTCATCTGTAAATGGTGGCTTTGCAAGGTACGGTATTCTCAGGTGGAAGTATTTTTCTTTTAAAACTTGGAATATATCATGCCACTTCTCCTTGCCTGTAAGGTTTGTGATGAGAAGTCGGGGGTGAGTCTGATTGGATTCCTCAGAGTGTCATCTATCAGTTTCTCTATGGCACATTTTAAGATCTGTTCTTGGCTGGCACCGCGGCTCCCTAGGCTAATCCTCCGCCTTGCGGCACCGGCACCCCGGGTTCTAGTCCCGGTCGGGGTGCCGGATTCTGTCCTGGTTGCCCCTCTTCCAGGCCAGCTCTCTGCTGTGGCCCGGGAGTGCAGTGGAGGATGGCCCAAGTCCTTGGGCCCTGCACCCGCATGGGAGACCAGGAGAAGCACCTGGCTCCTGGCTTCGGATCAGCGTGATGCACCGGCCGCAGCGGCCATTGGAGGGTGAACCAACGGCAAAAGGAAGACCTTTCTCTCTGTCTCTCTCTCACTGTCCACTCTGCCTGTCAAAAAAAAAGAAAAGATCTGTTCTTTCACTGAGCTGAGTGTTGCTACAGTGTGTCGTGGTGAATACTTTTTCTGGTCATGTCTGTTGGGGGTTCTATGTATTTCTTGTACTTGGATGTTGTGGGAGTTTGCTAATAGTATTTCTTTATTTTTTGACAGGCAGATTTAGACAGTGAGAGAGAGAGACAGAGAGAAAGGTCTTCCTTTTCCATTGGTTCACCCCCCAAATGGCCGCTATGGCTGGCGTGCTGCGCCGATCTGAAGCCAGGAGCCAGGTGCTTCCTCCTGGTCTCCCATGCGGGTGCAGGGCCCAAGGACCTGGGCCATCCTTGCACTGCCTTCCTGGGCCACAACAGAGAGCTGGACTGGAAGAGGAGGAACCGGGACAGAATCCGGCGTCCCGACTGGGACTAGAACCCAGGGTGCCAGCACTGCAGGTGGAGGATTAGTCAAGTGAGCCATGGTGCCAGCCAGATAGGATTTCATTAAGAAGGCCTTTAATCCATTCTCTCTTTCCACACATTCCAGGGCTCTCATTATCTGTACATTACATTGCTTGATATAGTCTTGTAAATCTAAAACTGTGATTTTTAATTTTCTAATTGTTCTTCTTATGTTTAGTATTACTGTGTTAATTTAGTATTACTGCATTAATTGCAGAAGTTTGTCTTCCAGTTCTCATATTCACTCTTCTATTTCATATGTTTGATTTCTGAGAGATTCCACGACATTTTTTATTTGGTCAATTTGAAGCTTTCATTTCCAGTATTTCATTTTGGCTTCTCTTTAGAATCTCAGTTCCTTGGGAGTGCTTCTCATTCAGATCTTGAATTTGTTTTTGATTGCTCTTAAGTAATCTTATCAATTTTCTGAACTCTTTTCCTAGCATGACTTCAATTTCTTTTTCTTCTGTCTATTTGTGAAGACTTAGATTGCTCCATTGGCAAGTTCATTGGTTCTTTCTTACTCTTATTCAGAATTTTTCCTTTGTTCTTTGGCATTTGTTTGTGTTCTGATTGATTTAATTTTTAGATTGTTTTTCCTCTGCTGTGAGCTGCTATGTGTCTGTGCTGGTTGCCAGTGTAAGCAAGCAGCTCCACCTCCTGGAGCTCTGTTTATTTCTGGCAGCTTAAAGAGGAGAGTAGCCAGGCTTTGATGTACTAAGCCCCACCTACTAGGGCTGGTCTCCCTGCTCCTTTGTTCACTAAAAAGAGCTTGTGTTTGTTTTTCAGATTTATTTTTTGCTGTGTAACTTGCGTGATGGGAGAGAAGTCACTCTGAATTGTTGTGATTGTTGTTCTCTGGTGGGGTGTGTTATGAGGTGGCCCCCACAATTTTTGGGTTCATGGCACAGGAGGCAAAAGTGCAGCCCGCTGCCTACACTGGAAAATGTAAGCAACCAATGTGGCCTATCCCTGCCAGCTGCAGTTCCAGTTAGGGGGCGGGGTAAGACACCGAGGAATCGTGGCATGTTCACCCTTTCTGCCCGTCCCCCAGAATTTCTCCTTCTTCCCACTTAGAGCACCGATTACTGTTCACCAAATTTCCACACTCATCTGTGTATGCATCTCTGTGGGCTCACAACCTCTCACCTGAGTCACTGAGGGAGTGGTGGCTGTCTCCTCACTGTTCCCTTTCTGCACTTTGGGCACCTGTCTGTCTTTGCAACGTGGGCCTGTGCACACTCTGGTGAACTCCTGAGCCACTCTGCGTAAACTTTTTATTATTGCTGTGCTTGCTTGTATTCCTCCTTCTTGTTAATTATCCATTTTTCCCTGTGCAACTTGGAACATCCCACTGCTATACCACCGTCTTGCCTCCACCTCCACAGACACAAACTTCATCTGCTGTTTCACTCCATAAACAGCTGCAGCCGCTGTCCTGGGCCAGGCTAATGCTAGGATCCTAGAACTCAGTCTGGAACTCCCTCATATGTATCAAGAACCTGAGGACTTGAGCCACTTCTGCTGCCTCCTGCGGTGCGCAATAACAGGAAGCTGGAGTAGAACTGTAATAGCTGGAATTCATAGTAGGCATGCCAACTTGAGGTGCTGGCTAATGAAGCACAGTCTTAACCACCATTTCATTTTTATTTATTTTTATTTTTATTTTTTTGACAGGCGGAGTGGACAGTGAGAGAGAGAGAGAGAGAGAGAGAGAAAGGTCTTCCTTTGCCATTGGTTCACCCTCCAATAGCCACCGCGGACGGCGCACTGCGGCCGGCACACCGTGCTGATCCGATGGCAGGAGCCAGGTGCTTTTCCTGGTCTCCCATGGGGTGCAGGGCCCGAGCACTTGGGCCATCCTCCACTGCACTCCCTGGCCACAGCAGAGAGCTGGCCTGGAAGAGGGGCAACCGGGACAGAATCCGGCGCCCCGACCGGGACTAGAACCCGGTGTGCCGGCGCCGCAAGGCCTCCAGAGGATTAGCCTAGGGAGCCGCGGTGCCGGCCAACCACCATTTCAAATGCTTGCCCCCTGTTTTAAGGTCCTGTCCCTCTGCATCCATGATTGAACGATTAGAGATCAAAAATATGTGAATGATAAAAATTGCATGTATATTGAGCATATACAGGAACACATGTAACTATCTACTTGTGTTGCATTAGATATTGCAGTCCTAATGTCCTAATGTGAGTTAGAGTTTGTGTGCAAGTATGATCAGCATTTTGTATGAAGAACTTGAACATCTGTGGGAGTTTTGTATCCATCGAGTTCCTAGAACCATTCTTCAGTTACAAAGAGATCTTAGTGTTTTTATAGTTGTTTTCCTGGCCTTTGATAGTTTTTTTGTTTGTTAATTTTTTATGCTTTATACTCAGGTCTGTAGTATATTTCTAAGGCTGGTGTTCTTTAATTTGCTTCCCTGTCCTCAAGAACTGTGTCCTGTGAAGTCAATATGTTCTTGTCTCTGAATTCTGAACTCATTGTCAAATGAGGGTGTTTGCTGGTTTCTGTGATCCTTCCTACTTCTTGTGCTTTGGCAACAAGCTGGAATAATCAGGCAGCTAATTGCATTTGTTATTTTAACAGGAATCATTTTTTTGTACTGCCTTTTCTCATGGTTAAAAACTGATTTCCGTGGTTTCTTCGTTAATTATTATAGAAAGTTAAATTAATCAGAACTGAAACCTTTTAGTTGTCTGAGGACTGGACTAGAGGCAAAATTCTGAGTTGAGCCCCAAAGTCAGAGACATGTGTGAGACATGGTCGAGACACGTCCTCAAGATTTGAGTTGTGTGAAGGAGAGGTCTCTCCTAATTGTTGTGACTCTCCCAGGATCTGGGTTAAAGGTAAACAGATTACCTAGTTTCAGGTGGAGAGTTGATGACACTTTCTTAGAGTTTGGAGAAGGAGAGAGAGACATCTCTTTCATACGTTCTGAGTCTCAGGAGCCTGAGCAGACCCCTGGAGATCAAAGACAGATTTCATTCTTTGTATCTGAGTGCTTGCAGTCTCCTACACTCAAGTAGACAAAAAGGATAGAAGGTATTCACAATTTTTAATTGAAAAGGAAGAGCTATAAACATGGCTTTTTTTAGAATCGTATTTAGAAGTAGAGTCATTGAGGGGGTTGAGCTAAACCTGGGGCAGGAGAGGAACAGTTTTAGATACCTGAATGTAAGAATAGAGGCTTACAGTGTCTGCGCTACAAGTATTTTGGTTTTTAATTTTAAATTGAATGGTGCTACAATTCACAATAGCCAGGACCTGGAACCAACCTAAATGCCCATCAACGGTAGACGGTAGACTGGATAAAGAAATTATGGGATATGTACTTTTTAGAATACTATACCGCAGTAAGAAACAACGAAATCCAGTCATTTGCAACAAAATGGAGGAATCTGGAACACATCATGCTGAATGAAGTAAGCCAGTCCCAAAGGGACAATACATATGTTCTCCCTGATCGGTGACAACTGACTGAACACCAAAAAGGAAACCTCCTGAAGTGAAATGGACACTATGAGAAACGGTGACTTGATCAGCATAGCCCTGACTGTTAATGAACAACTTACTACATTATCCTCTTAGTATTTTTTTGGTCTGTTCTACTTAATATGACTGGTTTAATTCTGTAATTATCACACAGTTATTCTTAAGTGTTGAAAATTAACTGAAATGTGATCCCTGTTAAACATGAGAGTGGGAATACGAGAGGGAAGAGATGTATAATTTGGGACATGCTCAAGCTGACTTGCCCCACATGGTAGAGTTAGAAACATACCAGGGGATTGCAATTCAATCCCATGAAGGTGGCATGTACCAATGCCATCTCACTGGTCCAAGTGATCAATTTGAGTTCACAATTGATCATAATGAAAGGACTAAGAGTCAAAGGGAGCACATAAACAAGTCTAGTACCTGCTAATACTAACCGATAGAATAAATAAAGGGGAGAGTGATCCAACATGGGAAGTGAGATACTCAGCAGACTCATAGAATGGCAGATGTCCTAAATAGCACTCTGGCCTCAGAATCAGCCCTAAAGGCTTTCGGATCTGGCTGAAAAGCCCATGAGAGTATTTCAGGCATGGAAAGCCAAGACACTCTGGCAAAAGATCTCTGTGAGTGAGATCCAGTGGAAAGAACAGGTCATCAAAGAAGGAGGTACCTTCTCTCTGAAGGGAGGAGAGAACCTCCACTTTGACTATGACCGTGTCTAAACAAGATCAGAGTCGGAGACTCAGAGGGCTTCCATAGCCTTGGAAACTCATGACTGGTGCATAGGGAGATTACTGATGCCATAGACAGGAGTGTCAGTTGGTAAAGTCAACAACAGGAGTCACTGTGCACTTACTCCTCATGTAGGATCTCTGTCCTTAATGTGCTGTACATTGAGATTTAATGCTATAATGAGTACTCAAACAATATATTTCACTTTGTGTTTCTATGGGCGTGCAACTGCTGAAATTTTTACTTAATGCATACTAAACCTGATCTTCTGTAAAAAAAAAAAGAAAAGAAAAAAAGAAATTATCAATTCCCAGCTTGACTCTCACTGGGATTAAACATGACAATAGGTCTGATCTGATTTCATCATCATTTAAAAAAATCATCTATTATTTTTCACTCTATGTTTGTGTGTGGGAGCAAACCGTTGAAATCCTTACTTAATGTATACTAAGCTGATCTTTCTGTATATTAAGATAATCGAAAATGAATCTTGATGTGAATGGAAGGGGAGAGGGAGTGGGAAAGGGGAGGGTTGTGGGTGGGAGGGACGGTATGGGGGGGGAAGCCATTGTAATCCATCAGTCGTACTTTGGAAATTTACATTCATTAAATAAAAGTTAAAAAAAATAAATAAATTAATGGTGCTAGATGGCAAGATGGGAGAGTTGTTACATGACTTCAACATATTCCCCTCCACCTTTTTTTGTTTCCCTTAGGGCCCTTACACCTTCAGCATATGTGATACCTCCCAGCTTCTCTGAGTATATTAGTGGAGGCATGTCAGTCAGGTCAAAGTACCTAAGAAGATTAGTTTTGTGAGTATGAGTTGATGGTAGGTTTTCTGGGCGTTTTCTAGTTTTTTCCGGCCTCGATCCTGATGTCCCACTTTCCACAGAAATCCTTAGTAGCGTCATTGGCAGAGCCAGATTTTGTGATAATGGACTTTGCCAAAGTATTCTCACCCTGCTCAGCTGCACATTGGCTTCCAGGCCCTGCATCGGTTTGTTCTCAATACAATCGATCTCCTCGACCACATAATGAGGTAAATGAGATGGGGAGATAACCAGTGGATTGGACCAAAGCGGTCATTTTTTTTCCATTTGCCTACAATTTCCTTCCTCCTTATCCTCCTATGGTGGTCTGAAATGTTCTTTTTGGACTCTTCAGGAAGATGCAGCAGAACTGCGTGATCTTAGCACAGACTGTGAATTCTGAAGCCTTGCCCCCAGGACAGCAGGGCATCCTGGATGAAGACCTCATTCGCAAGTTGGCATATGTAGCTGCTGGGAATCTGGCACCTATAAATGCCTTCATTGGGGGCCTGGCCGCCCAGGAGGTCATGAAGGTCAGCATGGATGGTTAAGGGCATGGCCAGAAGTGTCCTCTACTTGTCACTTGTCAAGCCTCAACTACTGACAACCTTTTCTCCCCAGGCCTGCTCTGGCAAGTTTTATGCTATCATGCAGTGGTGTACTTTGATGCTTAGAATGCCTTCCTGAACACAAGAAGCCTTCATGGAAGACAATGTCTCCCGGTATGTGCGGTCCTCTGTGACGACTTCATTGTGAGCATCTCCTAAAGCCACTCTTCCTTAACCCTTCCTGTTCTTTTCTCTTTCTTTTCTTTTCTTTTCTTCTTTTCTTTGTCTTTCTTTCTTTTCTTTTCTTTTCTTTTCTTTTCTTTTCTTTCTTTCTCTTCTCTTTCTTTCTCCTCCCTCCCTCCCCTCCCCTCCTCTCCCTCCCCCTCCTCCCCTCCCTCCTTCCCTCCCTCCCTCACCCTTCCTTCCCTCCTTCCGCCTCTTCCCGCCTTCCCTGCCTTCCTTCAGCCCTTCCTGCCTCTTCCTGCCTTCTGTCTTCATTCATGCCTGCCTGCCTTCCTGCTGACTGCCTGCTGCCTTCCTGCCCTTCCTGCCTTCCTGCCTTCTGCCTTCCTGCCCTTCCTGCCTTCCCTGCCTTCCTTCCTTTTTTGATAGCAATCAGAACCGTTATGATGGGCAGGTGGCAGTATTTGGCTCAGACCTACAAGAGAAACTAGGCAAGCAGAAGTACTTTCTGGTGAGTAGACACCCACTACCTTCACCTTCCTTACTAGCTTCTGACCCTCTTAGATTTTTTTGTCTCTAGAAGTTGGGTTTTCTGATCTTTTGTGGCTTGATCACATTCACTTTTTCACTTTCTGTGAATTGAAGGAAAACATGATATATTCTTTGTTTTGGGTCTCAAGTGCTTCCATTTTTAAGATGATGATAGATTTTTGTGATTTGGGGGTTTAAATATGTGGCAATAGATGACTTTCTTCATCTTTGTACTCTACGGGAAGTACAGAGCGGTAAATGGCTTCCTGCTATCTGCAGTCACCTTGACCAGACTCTCTTCCCATCTTCAGGTGGGTGCAGGTGCCATTGGCTGTGAGTTGCTCAAGAACTTTGCCATGATTGGACTAGGCTGTGGGGAGGGTGGGAATATTACAGTGACAGACATGGATACCATTGAAAAGTCCAATCTGAACCGACAGTTTCTCTTCCGGCCCTGGGATGTCACAGTGAGTTGAATGGGGTTTATGAGCTGTCATATCTCTCTCTCTCTCTCTCTCTCTCTCTCTCTCTCTCTCTCTCTCTCTCTCTCTCATCCTAGTGGCTTAGAACACCTCTCTTGTGTGTCTCATACCCTCATACCTGTGTCCAAATTTAATTGTCTGCGTCAGTCTTCACCTCAGCAAACATTTATCAAGCACTTAGGTCATTTCATTGATAGGTTTTCATAATTTCTCCACTCCTGCGTTGTTGGTTTTGGGCCATTTTGAATACGGTACTGTAAATTGGGGTTATGGAAGGCCGTGTGTGAAAGTCAGTAATTTTACTGCCTGCTCAGAGTCTTATAACTTTACAGTCCACATAGTAGGTTCTAGACATTGAAATATGTTAAAAAGAAGTTCCTGCCCTTTTCTAATAGGAAAATTAATAGTAAAATACTCTTGGAATCCACAAGATTATAATAGTCATTTTAAGAACACTAAGACCATTATTTGACTTTTTTACTCTTATTTTATCAAAGAATGGAACTTTCTAATCTTCTACAGGAAATCCTCCTTTAATTCAATGAAACACTTTTCCAAATGACCACTGTATCGTGAGACAGAATATGTACTAGTTGTAAATATCCATTCAAAATGGAAGTTGATTGAATATGGATTCCAGATTTACTTAAAACCAAACTTATAAACACTTTGACTTGTTAAGTTTGCTATATAGTTTTAAACTCCTGCAAGTTATGCTGATAGGCTGTCAAACTATTTTTCTGTGCTGCCTTTTCCTTCAAAAAATACCAGGTTGAATGCATTAGAAATGAGAATCTAGCTGTCATTAAGAAGTACATAAAGATATTTGACCAAAAGGTAAATGGAGTTTAGCTCCTGTTACTGAAGTTTGCATTGGAAAATATTTTTATGATGATTCAGATTATGTGTAGGATTTATTAAGGATTTTAAAATGGTCTAATTTTTTTCTACTTTCTAGTTAAATATGTGATATGAAAATGTATAGAAAAAGTTTCTTGGTTTGATAACTTAAAAAAACAAATACAGTCACAGAGAATATCATTAACACGTGAAAAGGTAGGGTATGGACGTGGTAAGAAAAAGGTGTCTTTGGAAGGTTTACAGTGTAAACAAAGGTATCTTTCATGAGAAAGATGACATTTTTGGGGCTGGCGCTGTGGTACAGTGTGTTAACACCCTGGCCTGAAGTGCCAGCATCCATATGGTTGCCAGTTCAAGACCCGGCTCTGTTCACTTCCGATCCAGCTCTCTGCTGTGGCCTGGGAAAGCAATAGAAGATGGCCCAAGTCCTTGGGCCCCTGCACCACCATGGGAGGCCTGGAGGAAGCTCCTGGTTCCTGGCTTTGGATCAGCACAGCTCCAGTCCTTGCGGCCAATTGGGGAGTGAACCAGCGGATGGAAGACACTCTCTCTCTCTCTCTCTCTCTATCTCTTCTCTCTCCTCTCCCTCCTCCCTCTCCCCCTCCCCCTCCCCCTCCCTCCCCTCTCCCTCCCTCTCCTCTCCCTCTCTCTCATCTCTGTGTAACTCTGACTTTCAAATAAATAAAAAAATCTTTAAAAAAGTGAAATTTTTTTCAGATACTCGAAGGATGTAGATTAGAATGTCTAGCATAATAGTGTGCCAACAGATAAAGGTAAAAACCTGAGCAAAACTGTACTTTATGGTGTGCAATGATAGAGACAGTCATTTTTCTAAGGAAAATGTTACCAGTGGAGGGTTTTTTTTTTAAAGATTTAGTTTTGTTTATTTGAAAGAGTTTGAGAGAAGAGGGTCCTTCATCACTGGTTCACTCCACAAATGGCGCAGTGGCCAGTGCTGAGCTGATCTGAACCCAGGGGCCAGGAGCTACTTCCGGGTCTGCAGGGGCCGAGAGACTTGAGTCATCCTTCTCTGCTTTCCTGTGCCATGGCAGAGAGCTGTATAGGAAATGGAGCAGCCAGACTTGAACCAGCACCCATTTGGGATGCTGGCACTGCAGGCCACAGTTTTAAAACACTTCACCACAGTGTTGCATCATCCAGTGTTGGGTTTTAAATAAGAAAAGGTCTTGGTTTTGGCTTTGGCTTTGAAAAGATCCTGTGTGTCTTTGTTTTTATTAGGTGATGTCTCTCTATTCGGGTCTCATTAATGAAAAAAAAAAAAAGTGGAATTAGTTGGTAAAATAATGTAAAACTAAGGAATTTTTTTCCTATTTGTGGCATATATTTGGGCCCTCTTGGTCTCATTTCACATTTGTCACATGTGGCATTGTCACAGAACATCAGGTGATGTTCTTGAATTTGGAGTCAAGGCTTTTCTTCACTTACTCAGTTGTTAGGTTAGCTTTAAAAGGTTGTGTGTGAATGTATGACAAACAGCTTTCTCCCTCCATTCCCATTCAGAAGTTAAAGTCTGATGTAGCTGCGGCATCTGTGCGTCAGATAAATCCATACGTCAGAGTAATAAGCCACCAGAATCGTGTAGGCCCTGACACTGAGTGTATCTACAACGACGACTTCTATGAAAACCTGGATGGTGTAGCCAATGCCCTGGACAATGTAGATGCCCGTGAGTTTCTAGGCACATGAGGATAGGGCACAGCCATCATTGTGCATATTAGGGTGGGGTGTACCTGTCCTAATACTCCTCTCCCAGTTCTCATGAAACATCCTCTTTACCTCCATGAAGGCCTGTACATGGACCGCCGCTGCGTGTACTACCGTAAACCATTGTTGGAGTCAGGGACACTGGGCACCAAGGGCAGTGTGCAAGTGGTTATTCCCTTCCTGACGGAATCTTACAGCTCTAGCCAGGACCCACCTGAGAAGTCCATCCCCATCTGCACACTGAAGAACTTCCCCAATGCCATTGAACACACTCTGCAGGTGACTAGCCTTGGGGACTTTGGGAGGTAAAAGAGACAGGTTCAGACATAGCCTCTGGATTTTGAAGCCCTTGACATTCCAGAACTGTAAGGCTCAGTGCAGCAAATCTTTCTGCTAATCAGTTTTCATGTGTACCAATAACTTCATTTTTAAAACTTTTTTTAACTTTAAAAAATCTTCTGTTAAAGACTACAGTTTCAGTAAACGTCTGAAAAGTGAGAATGTGTAAACACTAATGTGTTTCTGAGCAAAATTGACTTCATTGTTAACTTTGTTATTTCAAAGTTAACAAAGTTATTACAGAAAAATTTGTGTTAAAGTATATTTATATTTCTATAACTGCTGCTCAAAATGTTTCAACAGTTAGTTTATCAGAATAGTTTCTATTGACATAATGGCCATACATATAGAACAGGGCATATTTAGTTGAAGAAAATAAATACACCTGAGTAACTGATACACATAATCTAATGCTAATCTGCAACCCAAGAACCACACCATTGTGTGTTTAGAGTGTTTCTTACTGTAATATTTGAGACTTTGTTTAGGAGGAATTATTTGTGGAAAAAAAAAGTTGCCTTCCCAACTTAGCACTTTCAGCATGAGTGGATATACTTATTTATGTACTCATGACTGTCAGTTTTTGGCTCTCATGTGTATTTATATGTTTATATAACCTCTAGTAGGTCACGTTTTCTTTTGTGTCCAACATGCAGGGAAATCTATGAGAAAGGTTTTAAAACATTTTCATTATATGACCTCAGACTTCTGTGAAACTTCCACATGCCTCGGATTCCTTATCCATAAAACTTCCATGACAATTAGTATCTCATCCTTTCTATAACATTTAACATGCATTTGCTATTTGAATAAGCTTTAGATATATAGTATTTGGTTGTTTCTTTGTAGCAAGTCCATGGAGCATAGAAATTACTATCTAGAATGATGAAGTAGGCAGTAGGAAAGAGCTACAGTCTCCAGTGAATCTCCGGCGCTAGAGATCCAGATGACTTTGCAAGTGATTGTACTTACTGGTCTTATATAAATATTTCGTATTTAAAGTATAAAATGGCAGTACATATGCAGAAGTGCTTTGTTTTTTGCCAGTCCCAGGGTCTGTATGAGGATTGTTGTTGTTATATTTAGCTGTGAATTTTCCTTTTTTTTTTTTTTTTGAGGAAAAACACCCGTATTCTAGTAATGTACACAGACGTGACAAGTAACTTTTAATGCCTAAGCACCTGCATTACCACTATATAGATAAGCCATTGAAAAAGTAGCGGTGTGAAGTTGGTAAATTTGGGGAGCCACATTTAAGAAACTTCACTGTTGCGCACTCACAGAGCAAAAGTGCTTCTTTCAACTTGCTTGATTCATTGATTAATCTTTCGAATACATTTAGAAACCTCTGTGTTATTCATTGTCCCTGTGTAATGTTTGCTTTGTCTGCAGTGGGCCCGGGATGAATTTGAAGGCCTCTTCAAGCACCCTGCAGAAAATGTCAACCAGTATCTCACGTGTGTAACCTAAATGAACTGTGATGCTTGCCCCTGCCCAGCAGCCTAAAAATCTTGTGTCTGCTTCCCTCACATCTGTACCTTATTATGTTTGAGCCTCTTGACACCTTTTGGGAATCACGTCTGGCTTTGCATGGAGAGTGTGGGATTTTCAAGAAGCCTGCTTCTGGGTCTGTTGAATAATTTTGCTGTTTGCTTCTTCCCTATAGAGACCCAAAGTTTGTGGAACGGACTTTGCAGCTGGGAGGCACCCAACCAGTGGAGGTGCTGGAGGCCTTACAGCGTAGCCTGGTACTGCAGCGACCACATACATGGGCTGACTGTGTGACTTGGGCTTGCTACCACTGGCACACCCAGTATTCTAACAACATCCGGCAGCTACTCCACAACTTCCCTCCCAACCAGGTATTATTGCACTTTCCTGGACCTTTGGGCAGAGTACATTTCTGGGAAACAAGAGAATTCTCCTAGGTTTTTGATAATCCAGCAGTCACAGGCAACCCAAGGATTGGTATCTCAGAAAAACAAGCTGCAGTTCTGCAAACGTGTTCTGCCTCATTCCTTTTCCACCAGGAAAGGGGTTTTTCATTTCTGTTTCCCTGGCTGATGGTGTGGAGTATTGTTTCTGATCTCACATTGTAGATACTATCAGGGAAAGCTTTATAGTTCTAAAGTTTTATAGTTAACATAGTTTCAAGTTTAACAGCCATTGTTGGTTTGAAACCCAATGGACTTGACATTAGAGCAAGCCATTTATTTTCCTCTTTGTATTTCAGTAACTTTATCTGTAAAGAAGAAATAATAACTCATATAATGGGGGTTTTTTCAGGGTTAACATATAAATGTTAAGCTTTAGTTTGTATAGTGCCTGCCAGATTGACAAGTTTATGATTTTTTGTTATTCTGATAAAAAGTTTCCCAGAATAGTGTCTAGACTCACAGGAACAAAGTAAGGTGGTAGCATTGCCAGCTGGTCTTCTACACTCAGGTTCTACTCCTCCAAAATCTTTCCTCTCCTAGCTGACAAGCTCAGGAGCCCCATTCTGGTCTGGACCCAAACGCTGTCCACATCCACTTACATTTGATGTCAACAATGTAAGTCTCAACTTCCTGGGATCTCTTTGGGTCAAGGGGAAGTTGCATAGATAGGAAACAGGCAGATTTCCCCACTGAGAACTGACTTTGTGTGTTTGCCTTCTCATAGACCCTACATCTGGACTATGTGATGGCTGCTGCTAACCTGTTTGCCCAGATGTATGGGCTGATGGGCTCTCAAGACCGACCTGCTGTGGCCACACTCCTGCAGTCTCTACAGGTACCTGAATTCATCCCCAAGTCTGGTGTCAGGATTCATGTTTCTGACCAGGAGCTGCAGAGTGCCAGTGTCTCTCTTGGTGAGTTTTGGCCAGCTGGCCAGGAGTTGCACTCTACTTTCTCCACCCATGTCTCCTCACTAGCCTTACCACTTGGCCCTTCTCTGACTATAGGCATAGGGTTTACTAACATATCATCTTTTTGGGTGTTACTTTTATTCTGTGTGAAATAAGGATGACTGGTTGGAGGTCTCATTTCTTTTCTTCCTACCACAATAGATGTCAGAAATAGCTGTTCATCATCCCTTTTCTGGTTTTTGTTTGCCTTTGTTCTTTGCTTCTCTATATGATCTGAACCAGTGTTATCTTTTCTTGATACCTTACCTGCTTTATCTCTTCAATTTCTCTTGTATCCCCATGTAAATATTTACCCCAAACTTTTTGTTCTCTGTTTTCCTCCTTATCACGTTGTCCTCCATATGTCTTCTCACCTCATTCTCAAGTTCCCATCTCCATCTGTCTACAGTGTGGCTCATGCTGTGTGTCTTCCTCTCTGTAGTATCTTTTTTTTTTTTTTAATTTTTGATAGGCAGAGTGGACAGTGAGAGAGAGAGAGAGACAGAGAGAAAGGTCTTCCTTTGCCGTTGGTTCACCCTCCAATGGCCGCTGCGGCCAGCACATCACGCTGATCCGAAGGCAGCAGCCAGGTGCTTCTCCTGGTCTCCCATGCGGGTGCAGGGCCCAAGCACTTGGGCCATCCTCCACTGCACTCCTGGGCCACAGCAGAGAGCTGGCCTGGAAGAGGGGCAACCGGGACAGAATCCGGCACCCCGACCAGGACTAGAACCTGGGGTGCCGGCGCCGCAGGCGGAGGATTAGCCTATTGAGCCACGGCGCCGGCCCCTCTCTGTAGTATCTTACCCTGAATGTGTTTCTTCCATTTTACATATCTCACGACTTAAGATCAGCTGCCCTATTTTCCTTTATAATTGCCACCTCTTTATGTTCCTCTGTGCACGTATTTATCTGTATCTCTCATGCATGTCTGCCTTCCATGTATTTGTTTTTGACTCGCCTTATGTACGTTACCTATCTCTATTAGTATTCTTCCACTGAATCTTGCCCTTCAAATTTCTTGATATTAATCCGACTTGATAGTTCCCTTCTTTGTTACTGTCTGGAAGTTTTCCTTCCTTCCCTTACTCATTTTCTTTTTTAACTCCAGTCTCGTGTTTCCCCCTGTATCTCCTCATCTGTGTGTGTTATTCTTCCTTAAGACCTCGATATCCATGGTTTATCTTTTCTGTCTTCTGTGAAGATCCTATCCACTCCCTCTTTTTTTAATATGGTCAAAGTCTGATGAGACTATTACCTGTTTATGATGAGTGTTCAGTGATGCTAAATGTGTTCTTGTTGTACAACCACTTTCTAAGACTTTTTAATGTTAACTAAAAATTCAAGTCCTGTTACAGTTTCTCCTCATTTTCCCCTTCCTCACTGTCTCAGGCAGCATACCTGTTTTCTGTTTCCACAAGTTATTATTCTAGGAATATAAAAAGTAGAATCATACTATTTTTCTTTTGTGTCTTATTTATTTTATGGCTGTGATGTCTTCAGTAATGCATGGACAGACAAAACACCTAGGAGGTTAATGTGTGTTAAAAGTATGTGTCAAAATTTCCTTCCTCTTTAAGACTGAGTCTGTTACATGGATTATTTCATTTTGTTGACAGAAATTTGGGTTGCTTCTGCCTCTTGGCTATGCTGGATAATTTTCCTATCATGCTTCCTACATCTTTGTACCTCTTTCTCTGGGGGAATATTCCCTCCTATTTTTCTTGTTTCACTATTTCCCAAAGTGTCCATCATATGCATGAACACTTTGTGTACCCTGGGCTACTGATTTTACCTCAGAAACAGGGTTAGGATCAGAGGGACTAAGCATGTCTCCTCTTTTCGTGCAGATGACAGCCATCTAGAGGAGCTCAAGGCCGTGCTTCCCAGTCCAGACAAACTCTGCGGATTCAAGATGTATCCCATCAATTTTGAGAAGGTTGTTGGTGGGGCCCTGATCTGGGTAGGGAAATAGGTTGACAGTGGCTCAGCTCTCAGGCTTTGTCAGCATTATGGATCTACAACAGGGCCCAGTCATCCTTTGTGGTGTGGAGGTTAGCAGGTAGTTGGAGTGGGAAATGTACTTCTCCCATGTAGCCAAGAATCCTTTTCATGCTTATTCTTTCCCCTCTCCCCCTCCTCCTCATTCACAACAGGATGATGATAGCAACTTTCATATGGATTTCATTGTTGCTGCATCCAACCTCAGAGCAGAGAACTATGATATCCCCTGCAGACCGTCATAAGGTAATGGCGGTCTGATCAATCTTCCACCCCTTGCAAGCTTACTTAAGTCTAGAATTTGAACTTAGCTTCTTGTGTAGATTTCAGCCTTCTCTAAAAATAACATCTATGGCACACTTGATTCACAGAGCAAGCTTATTGCAGGAAAGATCATCCCAGCCATTGCGACAACCACATCAGCTGTAGTTGGCCTTGTGTGTCTGGAGCTGTACAAGGTAGTGCAGGGACACCAACAGCTTGCGTCCTATAAGAACAGCTTCATGAACTTGGCTCTGCCATTCTTCAGCTTCTCTGAGCCCGTTGCCCCACCACATCACCAGGTGAGAAGGGTAATGGCCTGCCTGTATGGAGATGTCATGTTACCCCAACTATGTATATGAGTGAAAAATGTGTGTGTGAGTGTGTATGTGTGTGTGTGTATGTGTGTGCAGTCATCCGTATTCCTTATGGCACATGTAAGTTTCTGTTACTAGGTATCTGCTTTTTGTGTTCCCTGGTTTATTCATTCAGTGTACAAGGTAGGAGCACGACACACATTTTGAAAAAAAAAAAAACAACAGATTGCCAAGGTACTTGTAAGAAATTAAAAGGAGGAAAGTAAACGAGATGGAAAATGAGTGGAAGAGGTAACAAGGTCTCAGTCATATGTGACTATTTGGTCATTATAAGAATTACAGTTACTTAAATTGAGATGTGGCTATCAGACTACTTGGAATAAAGAACTTCAGTGGCTCTGACCTAACATGTCAAGTTGGCTGATAGTGGCCAGACCATCTGGAATAACAACTATCCTTCCCCCTGTTCTTTGTTTCCAAGTATTATAACCAAGAATGGACTTTGTGGGATCGCTTTGATGTACATGGATTACAGCCTAATGGTGAGGAGATGACCCTCAGGCAGTTCCTAGAATACTTCAAGGTAAGATGCTTTTCTTCTTCATTTCCCCTACCCACGGGGTTGGTAGTTGTATAAATTCAGAATCTTACAGATGGTCGTTCCCCTTCCTCCTTCTCATCCTCTGTAGACAGAGCACAAACTGGAAATAACCATGCTGTCCCAGGGTGTGTCCATGCTCTACTCATTCTTTATGCCTGCCTCCAAGCTGAAGGAACGGCTAGATCAGCCGTGAGTTGGTAGCTAGGGAGGGTGGAGGTGTCCTGCTCAGTGGGGTCTTAAATTTCCAGCTGTATCAAGCAATAGTTGACTCTCATCTTGTCTTTGCCTACGATATGTGCTTCTCTTCTGTTTCACCTCCTTAACCTTCTGTTTTTGTTTTGTTTTGTTTTGTTTTTGTCTCAGAATGACAGAAATTGTGAGCTGTGTGTCGAAGAGAAAACTGGGCCACCATGTGCGGGCTCTGGTGCTTGAACTGTGTTGCAACAGTGAGAGTGGCGAGGACGTTGAGGTCCCTTATGTACGCTACATCATTCCTTGAGCTTTGATCAAAGAACCTTTTTTTTCTTTGCTGCTTTCTACTGTTTGAAATTGGCATTCATAATAAAAAAGTGATCCAGATGTGATATGTCTTTGTTTTGGTAAGGGCCAATGCTTGTTCTCTCCATATTTCCATATGTTAAAGTAATAATCCAGAGTCCAGCTCCACCCTCACAACATGGAAATTTCTGAAAATTCAAAGATACAGGACAGACTAAGTACAACTGATTGAAGTGTGCGGTATGTTAACTTTATTTTGGCATATCTGCTAAAATAAATGGTGACACAGCAAAGCCATTAACAGGGTTAAATCTGAGGATCTAATCCCTCTTCCCTGTTGATTCTAAGGTAGAGATTTTACACCTGGTTTACCACATATAAATTATATTTAGAGGTTATCACACCTCAATCTTTGGTTGTAACCCATATTCCATATTTCTCATCCGTAACAAAGGGACAACAAGTTGTTAGGAATAAAGTACATTTGTATGTGTTACACATGGATTTACTATTGTAATATGATGTGCCTTTTAAGTCTTTGACACCTGTGCCTTTGCCATGCAGGTTTCATCCTACCCTCATTGTACTTGATGGGTCGACTCTTAGTGAAACCTGTGTAACCATGGTTTCCTTATGTAAGGAGGGTGTAAATCTGGTGAAATACGAAGAACCAGTACCCTACTTCCCTCAACACCGTTTTGTTTTCAGGATCTCCAGACTTCCTTCATTCAGGGCAGCATGGAGCTGTGTTAGGATGATCTGTAGCAGCAGGACTCATCACTGGCCTCACAAGAACCCTAATCTTTCCCTTTCGTCTTGACAATTCTACAAAATCCTCAAAGAACCAATAGTTTTGACTACTTTCACATTGTTCACCCACCCAGGTTATCCAAAGTTTCCATTTGTATTCCCAAACCTCAGACAGCTTCTAAAATGATGTCTCATTTCTAAACTATAACTGAATCAACAAACTTGGGGCGAGCTCGATGGCCTCAGCATAATGTGCTTGCCTGTAAATTATATTATTGGTCTTTCATTGACTTTGTAGTTCTAGATGTCCTTTTTTCCCCCTAAATGTCGTTTTCCTTACAGCACAGAGATACCGGGTAGGAGTGCTTTAAAAACTTGATTGAGGCAATGATCTAGCAAGGAGAAAGCTTTTCCTTGTCACAGGTGCTTTTTAAATTTTTTATTTATTTGAAAGAGTTACAGAGGTAGAGACAGAGGTAGAGAGAGGTCTTCCATCCGCTGGTTCACTCCCCAGATGGCCACAACAGCCGGAGCTGTACCAATCCAAAGCCAGGAGCCAGGAGCTCCTTCCAGGTCTCCCACGCAGGTAAAGGGCCCCAACGACTTGGGCCCTTGGGCTTTCCCAGGCCATAGCAGAGGGCTGGATTGGAAGGGGAGCAGCCCGATAGAACCAGTGCCCATGTGGGATGCCAGCGCTCCCGGCCAGGGCTTTAACCTTCTGTGCCACGCTGCTGGCCCCCCTCATAGGTGCTTTTGTATACTTAATGCTCTGCAGTACAGATGCTAGCCTCTGCCCACTGAACATACAGTGTCTGAGGCTTGCATTCAAGTGGCATAATTTCTTTGCTGTAGTTGCCAAGTCCAACAAACTCCCATAACCATGTTTGACATCATCATCTCTGAAATTGAATTTCACGTCAGGCCCAGACACGTGCAAATTTCATTTTCACTCTACTTGCCCTCAATGATTACTGCTGTCTGCTCTGAAATAATGTTCTGTTATCACTGCTAGATTTTCTGTACCACGGATTTATTTCTGTATTTTCTGCACATGAGCGTGCACTTATATCAGATTGACCCAAGAGAAACCTGTGATGGTATTTCATAGCCATCTTATAGACCATTAGTACACTGAGCTGGTATGATAGAGCTGGGGATGTACTGTTAGTCTGGATTCTCTAGAAAGTTGGATCCATACGTATATATGGAAATAAGTATGGAGAGATAGGTAGATAAGATCAAGCCCTGCAGCTGGCAGGGAACAAGCTAGAGAACCAGCACTGATGATATAATTAAAATGTATGAAAGGGCCTAGGAACAAGTGCTATGATGTACGATTGCCGTTCGACAAGAAATTCTCCCTTATTGAGTGATCAGTTTATGGCCAATCTGATGAATGGTGATACGTGGTAAGTGTGTTTATTCATTTGAGAGGCAGAGCTATAGACAGAGGGAGAGACAAGTGAAGTCTTGTTTCCACTGGTTCCCCAAGTGGTTGTGACGACCAGAGCTGAGCTTGATCCAAAAACCAGGAACCAGGAGCTTTTTCCAGGTTCCCCAGGCAGGCGCAGGGGCCTAAACTCTTGGGACATCCTCCACTACTTTTCTGTGCCAAATCAGGCAGCTGGATGGAAGAAGAACTGCTGGGATGTGAAGTGGTGCCCATATAGGATGCAGGTGTTGTAAGTGGAGATTTAACCTACTATCTGTCAAGGAGAGTACACTCATCTCCTCCAAAACTACATCATTGTCCAAAAAATGGTGGCACAAACAGCTAACCTTTTGCCAGCATTCCATATCAGAGTAGGATTTAATTCTGCTTCCTGTTGGTCTTGCCTATGCTTTAGACGCAACTTATAGGAGGCAGCTGCAAGAAGGTTCAAGTATTTGAATATAGCAGTTACTCTGAAGGGATTTCTATCTTGTGACTTAGGTTTGGCCCAGCCCAACTGTTGCAGATAGAAAACCTCTACAGCGTTTAGAGTAACCGCTATTATTGAGGGTGTTACAGGTGAATATGTGGCAGACAGAGATTATCTTAATTCTTTGTCATGTGAAAGAGTAATTCCCATGTGGACTGTGGCAGAGTCCTTTATGTTCTAATTAGACTTGTTTCTAACTGACTTTAAAATTGTGGTAGAGGCCTTCCCAAGATGAGAAGAAAAGAGGAGGAAATTTTTACATTACATTACATTAGGGTAGGGGGAAGTGTGATCTCCTGCCCACAAATTAGCTATTTATCTTGAGTTTTCCACATCGCATTCAGACGCCACCTTTTGCTGGAACCCTGGTTTGAGGATGGGTTCTTACTCTGCCCCTTCTCAGCTTGCAGAAGTCAAAGAAGTTCTCACCCTAACCCCTGACAGCAAGCCATCTCCACTTGCTCAGAGATTCTCTGTCCTCTACTCAAACTTTGCTTCTCTTTTCAACATTTTGTCTGGTCTCATATCTCACTGATACTAGAACACCAATTTGGACTCATCTTCCCAGTTTTCCCACAACATAGGGTTGCTTAGAGTGAGTTTTCCTAGAGGGTACTGTTAATTTTGTGTGTTCTGTAGGTAAAAGTTATGCCAAAATGTCAGACCAGCATTATTCTGGAAAATTGTACTTTGTAGCACACAATTCAAACATGAAAATATAAAACAAAGCCAACAAGAATGCAACATTAAGTTTGCAGCTTAAAAACCAAGAGTTAAAATGTAACCGCAAACATATAAGTCGGTGGTTGGTTGACTTTGCGCTGTGCCGATCCGGAGCCAGGAGCCGGGTACTTCCTCCCTGTCTCCCATGTGGGTGCAGGGACCCAAGCACTTGGGCCATCCTCCACTGCCCTCCCGGGCCACAGCAGAGAGCTGGACTGGCAGAGGAGCAACCGGGACAGGATCCGGCACCCCGACCAGGACTAGAACCCAGGCTGCTGGTGCCACAGGCGGAGGATTAGCCTAGTGAGCCACGGTGCAGGCAGGTAGAACATGTTTTTACTGAAGTCATGTGAACAATGACATTGCCACAAAACCAAAATAATTAAATTTTTATTTTATTTTTTTAGTTTTGGAAGAATTAAGTAGGGTGCAAAAGGCAAGCATTTCCATTTCTGTTTTCTTTCTTTCTTTTTTTTTTTTTTTTTTTTTTTTTAAATTTTTGACAGGCAGAGTGGACAGTGAGAGAGAGACAGAGAGAAGGTCTTCCTTTTGCCGTTGGTTCACCCTCCAATGGCCGCCGCTGCAGCTGGCGCACCGCGCTGATCTGATGGCAGGAGCCAGGAGCCAGGTGCTTTTCCTGGTCTCCCATGGGGTGCAGGGCCCAAGCACCTGGGCCATCCTCCACTGCACTCCCTGGCCATAGCAGAGAGCTGGCCTGGAAGAGGGGCAACCGGGACAGAATCCGGCGCCCAGACCGGGATTAGAACCCAGTGTGCCGGTGCTGCAAGGCGGAGGATTAGCCTAGTGAGCCGCGGCGCCGGCCTCCATTTCTGTTTTCAAAATTATACTTTGCAAAGCACTGAAAGCCATAACATTAGCATAAACGATCTTTGGAATATACACTCTGAAATATTCAGGTACAGAACCAACAGTATTTTAAGTAAATGACTTCATAGAAGCCCATAAATGTCACTAACTCATTCAGTCTCACGTAGCTATATTTTTGTCTTTTTTTTAGAAGACTTTTTTTCCAATGAATACAAATTTCATATGTACAGCTTTTAGGAATATAGTGTTTTTCCCCCAATTCCCACCCTTCCACCCCACTCCCATCCCACCTCCTACACCTTTTCCGGTTCCATTTTTCAGGTAAGTTTTTAATTGAGTTTAATATGCACAAGACCAACTCAATACTAAGTAGAGATTTCAACTGTTTACACCCACACAAATACATAAAGTGCAGTCTGAAGGTGTACTGTTAATTCTCATACTACACCTCATGAATGACAGAGGTCCAACATGCGGGTAACTGCACAGTGAATTCCTGTTGTTGATCTAAAAACGGACACTCTTATTTTTGACGTCAGTGACCACTCGAGGCTCTTGTCATGAGTTTCCAAGGCTATGGAAGCCTTTTGAGTTCACCGACTCTGATCCTATTTAGACAAGGTCGTAGTCAAAGTGGAGGTTCTCTCCTCCCTTCAGAGAAAGGTACCTCCTTCTTTGATGACCTGCTCTTTCCACTGGGATCTCACTCACAGATCTTTCATGCAGAACATGAAGCCCGCCCTCTTCCCCCGGCCCTAGTCGCAGTCTCCCTGACTGCACATTTTGGCACACAACACCTCCACTCTTTTCCCCTGCCCGCCATGAATGGACGCTGCTCTGGCCAACCTGGACCCAGAA